GAGAGAGAGGGGGGGAGGGGGAGAGGGGGAGGAGGAAGTGAGATGACATAGAGAGAGAGAGGGAGAGACAGAGAGAGAGAGAAAGAGAGAGAGAGAGAGGGGAGACAGAGATAGAAAGGGGAGACGAGAGAATTAGTTTTAGTTTTAGTAGAGGTTTTACGGCGCTCGCAACTGCATAAGGTCATATGAGCGCCACAAGATTAGAGGTGTTACAAGAGAGTAACAAACATAAAAGAAGAAAGGGAGATAAGGAAGACAGATGTTTCATAGGAAAGAAGAAGCAAACCACACCACAGCACACACACACACACACAGATACACACACACTCACACAAACACACACACACAGATACACACACACTCACACAAACATAGACACACATACACACACACACACACACACACACTCACCTCCCGTATACAGCGTGGTCTTTAGGCTGGGCAGTGGTGTGGAGTGTATCACACACACACACACACACACACACTCACCTCCTGCATACAGCGTGGTCTTGAGGCTGGGCAGTGGTGTGGAGTGTATCACACACACACACACATACACACACACACATATACACACACACACACACTCACCTCCCGTATACAGCGTGGTCTTGAGGCTGGGCAGTGGTGTGGAGTGTATCACACACACACATACACACACACACACACTCACCTCCCGTATACAGCGTGGTCTTGAGGCTGGGCAGTGGTGTGGAGTGTATCACACACACACACACATACACACACACACATATACACACACACACACACTCACCTCCCGTATACAGCGTGGTCTTGAGGCTGGGCAGTGGTGTGGAGTGTAACACCGTCGCTGTAGGCCCAGGCTGCTCAAGACTCTTGTCTGGTGTTGCCATAGCAACGGGAGGCGGGGCCGAGATCTCACCCTCTCTCTCCTCCTCCTCCTCCTCCTTGACGGCAAACTCCCGGGTGCTGGGAGGAGACATGGGAGGAGGAGGAGGAAGAGGAGGGGGGCTGTCTCGCGACCTCTTTCTGGTGGAGAGCGAGAAGGAGGAGAAGGAGGAGGAGGAGGGAGGAGGGAGAGGAGGAGGAGGGGGGCTCGACGGCCGTTCTTCTTTCACTTCCATTTTGACCACATCGAGTTTGATTGATGACGATGATGGCAGTGACGATAAGGCCCCTTGCTGAGGCAGAGAGGAGGAGGAGGGAGGGGAGGAGGAGGGAGGGGAGGAGGAGGAGAGGAATAAGTTCCCGGAGGCTGGCTCTGCAGGTGCCAACGCTGACGGCGGTGAACGCTGGGGTAATGACGATGATGATGTAGATAATAGAGACGATGAAGGTTGTAACGAGGAGGACAAAAGTTGTGGCTGTAGCTGTGGTTGTGGTTGCGGAGGCGGTAACGGCGGTGACATAGACGGTGATCGACTCCTCTTCCTCTTTCGACTCACCTTCTCCTCTTCCTCCTTCACCTCCTCCTCCTCTATCATCTCCTCTTTTATGGCTCGAGTCATGAGTTTGGAATCAATCTTATCATCATCATCATCCTCATCATCAACGACTTCAATATCCTCCGACAGATGAAGAGGTGAGGAAGCAGGAGACGATGCTCCTACCACTACTGCTGCTGTTGCTGCTGCTGCTACTGCTACTGCTGATTTTTCAGTTGCTGAATGCAGAACCGCTGATGTTTCAGCAGGTGCAGCTTCTGCTGCTTCTGCTACTTCTTCTTTCACTGGTGAGCCAGGCGCACTGCCTTCTTTATCCAGCGAGAGAACGGTGGATCTATCCATCTCTGAATCCGACGCTTCCGGCTGGGGTGGTGAAGGCGACGCTTCGAATATCCGTGCCGGCATGGATGGATCCGAGCGGATGATGTTATCCAGGGACACAATGACGTCCTCGGGGGGACCTAGACATGGGACAAAGGTCAAGGTCAAAGTAACTTTAGCATGTTTGTCTATTTGTTTTACCTGTCCTCCGCTACATTCGAAGGCAAACAATCAGGTGGTTTGGACATCTCACACGTATGGCATCTCACCAGCTTGCCAGTAAAGCCTACTACAGAAAAGTATTAGGGTACAAGGCAAGAGGAAGACCAAGAAAGACCTGGATCCAGGGTGTGAAGGATACCCTGAGAACATGCAATATCAGGCCATCAAACTTGCTAGAGACAGGAAGCTCTTTCTATTTCTAGAGGTACAGTAGGACGGATAAACTAAAGTAAAGTAAGTTTATTTGTTAGTGGAGAAGATGAAGAAAGAAAACCACATGGACACAATAACACTCATGTAGAGCCAGCTGGAAAAAACCCAACCCAATGAAGAAATGTATTTGTGTGGGATCACGGTCGAATCAGACAATTGTCAAAATAATGAAATCGAAGAAATTGACATTAATTGCCCGCCTGCTACTGATGGGAAATTTTTGAGAAATTAAAAAAATTTTTTTTTTTAGACTCCACGCCTTTTATGCCAATTCAAAAACATATTTCTGTTTATATTTTACTGAAAAACACAGAAAACAGGCACTAAAAATGTAAATTTTTCCATTTCCAAGTACACTGAAGCCCTGGACATCACAAAACTCGGGCGTCTATTTTGTCCCTAATTCTACTTCTACTCCCCAGGGAGGTGCCACTGACTGAAGTATCTTTAGGCCATTCCCAAGGGGGGAACATTGACATGCTCTTATGCACAGTGGAATTGTAAATGGGCTGAATCATCAATATAATGCTCATAACTGTGCCTGAACTGCAACAGAGAACAGCTGCTTTTTCTTTCCTAATTCTACTATCTTAACTTTCCTCTACTTCTAAAAGGAGCAGCCAAGACCTGCTTCTCAAAGAGGCTGCTTTTAGGCAGACACCGCTGTTGTAATTGAACTCAAAACACAATACAAGAAAAATTTTGTTTTAATAGAGGTTTTACGGCGCTCGCAACTGCATTAGATCATATGAGCGCCAGAAGATTAGAAGTGTTACAAGAGAGTAACAAACACAAAAAAAGAGGGGAGATAAGGACGATAGATGTTTTAGTTTTAATTTTAGTAGAGGTTTTTCGGCGTTCGCAACTGCATAAGGTCATATGAGCACCAAGGATGTCAAAAGAGAAGTCCTTACTGGGAATCAGACTTACTCTGCTCACCTCTCTAGCTTCAACAGCACACGGTCTGCTTCAGCTACCAAGGCACCCCAGAAACAGCGGGTCACAAGAGTGTGACAAAACATACAAAAGAAGTAGAGGAAAAATGACAACAGTAAGGATTAGGAAAGAAAAAGCAGCAGTTCCCTGTTGTAGTTCAGGCACAGTTATGATCACGACATTGATGAATCAGCCCATGTAAAATTACAATTCTACTGTGCATAAGAACTCGAGATGTTAATGCCCCCCCCCTTTGGGAATGGCCTAAAGACACTTCAGTCAGTAGCACCGCCTGGGTGTGTGTGTGTGTGTGTGTGTGTGTGTGTGTGTGTGTGTGTGTGTGTGTGTGTGTGTGTGTGTGTGTGTGTGTTTGTGTGTGTGTGAGTGTGTGCAAGAAAAAGTAAAGTAAAACAAATAAAACAAAGAAAAGAAAAAAAAAAAAGAGCTCCCACCTCGTCGAGGCGACAGCTGCGGTGGTGAGGCAGAGTCCTCACTCAGGTGGCTGGGACTGACGTGCGTCTCTGTCACGTCGGCCGGCGTCTCGCCACTCGGCACTGACGGCACCGACACCTCAAGGTCAAGCTCAATCTTCGGCTGATGCAGAAATAAATAGATTTCAGTTTTGTTAAGGAAATTAATCGTTCAGGGAATGGGGGAATGAGGGTGAGGGGTGGGGTGAGGGGGAGGGAGGAGAGAGAGAGAGAGAGAGAGAGAGAGACAGAGAGAGAGAGAGAGAGAGAAAAGTAGAGAACGAGAGACAGAGAAGCAATCACCATGTACATACTCCATGTATCCATAGATTCTGAAAGACAGAGACAGAGAAAGAGAGAAGAGAGAGAGACACAGAGAGAGAGAGAGAGAGAGAGAGAGAGAGAGACAGAGGCAGAGAGACAGAGAGAGAGAGAGAGAGAGAGAGAGAGAGAGAAACAGACAGAAAGACAGAGACAGAAACACAGACAGAAAGATAGAGACAGAGACAGAGAAAGAGAGAAAGAGACAGAGACAGAGAGAGAGAGAGAAGAGAGAGAGAGAGAAGAGAGAGACAGAGACAGAGAGAGAAAAAGACAGAAAGACAGAGACAGAAACACAGACAGAAAGGCAAAGACAGAGACAGAGCGAGACAGAGACAGACAGACAGAAACAATAATATAGTGTAAAGCGCATAGAGCCTGCTGTTGAGCGGGGATATGCGCTATACAAATGCTATTTATTTATTATTTATTTATTATAAACAGAGGCAGACAGAAAGACAAACAGAGACAGAGACAGAAAGACAGAGAAAGACAGAAAGAGACAGAAACACAGAGACAGAAATACAGACAGAGAGAGAAACACAGAAACAGAGAGAATGAGACAGAGACAGAAACAGAGAAAGATAGAGAGAAAGGGACAGGCAGAGAAAGACAGAGACAGATAGAGAAAGACAGAGACACAGAGACAGAGACGGAGACAGAGAAAAACAGAGACAGAAACACAGACAGAGACAGAGACAGAGACAGAGACAGACAGAAACCCCGAAAGAAAGAGACAGACACAAACAAAACAAACACAAAAAATCCCTCTAAACCCCGGTGTACCTTCACGTCCTTGCCGTCCAGCTGACCGTCTTGGTGGTGGTTGTGGTCAGCGGGCTCTGTACTGACCACCGACTCCTCCAGCCCCACCGTCTGCTCCCCGGAGATCATGGTCAGGTCCACGGCTCTCTCCGCGCTCTGGGGACACGGCTTTGGTTTTAGTCAGAGTTTTACGGTATTTTGTGTTAGTAAGAGTTTTACGGTATTTTGTGTTAGTAAGAGTTTTACGGTATTTTGTGTTAGTAAGAGTTTTACGGCACTTGCGACACCATCATCATCACCATTGCCTTTCTAACCCTGGATCAGGACGTAGGCCACGAACAAACACTTTCCACCTTTCCCTATCCTGGGCTAGTCGCTTGATGTCACTCCACGTCTTCCCACTTTTCTGTACATCCATTT